TCGCGCCTGCCGCGCCCCAGAATCCGGCCGGCCGCCCCCGGCTCCGGCCCCGGCCGGCGCCCCCAGAAGAGCGCTCGGGCGCGGGCAGCGCCGCGCTACGGGCTGGAGCGCGCCGGATTAGTCACTCGCGGCGGCGGAGCGGCCGAAGGAGGCGAGGACGAGGCGGAGGAGGAAGATGGTGCGAGTGGGAAGCGCGCAGCGAGCCCGAGGACCCTCGCCGCGCCGCCCTGCCCCCACCCCAGAAAAGAGCTGCGCAGTCAGTCCGCCCGCCCGCCGCCTAGCTCAGCCTCCTCCGCGCGCCCAGCTGGGCTTGCGTCGCCGCCGCCGCCTCGCCGCCCATCCTCCGCCCGCCGCCGCCGCCGCTCAGCTGCCCATCCAGCCCTCCGCCGCCGCCGCCGCCGCCGCCGCTACTACTCGGCTGCTCGGGCACCGCCGCGCTGGCCGCCCCCGCGGAGCGGCTGCGGCTGCGCCCGGTGCGGGGCCGCCGAGCACGACGCCTCCCGGTCCGCGAGCTGCGCCTCGCCCGCGCTCCGGCGCCGTCAAGCTTCTCGCGCGGTTCTGGGGCCGCTGCCCGGCGCGGGGGGAGGCGGCGAGGGGCGGGCGCGCGGCACAGGTGGCGGTGGCGGCGGCGGGAGGAGCCAGAGCGCCGCCGCTCCAACAAGTCCCGCTCGGGCGGGGAGGGTCCCCGCGCGGCCGCTGCGCCGCCGCCCGGGCGCGGAGCCCCTCGAGGTCGGGGCGGGGGACGGCGGGGTCCTCGCGGCTGCGGGGCGGCGTGACGCGCGGGCTGCCCGCCTCGCCTCGCCTCCCCCGCCGCCGCAGGCGATCCGAGCCCCAAGCTGCGGTGCTTTCGCGGCTCAGCGGGTCTCAGTGACTTGCATGCCTAATAATAGGACCGGGGGCCGGGGAGAAGGGGCCGCGGCAGCCCCGGAAAGCGCAGCCGGCAGCTCGCCCTCCCGCCCGCCTCTGTTGTTTGCCACACGGCCGCTCCCGCCCGCTCTGCGCCTGCCCGCGCTCTCCCGGCGAAGCGCGGCGAGGCCGCGGATGCTCGCACCGGAACGAGGGGCAACGCTGCGCGCTGGCGCCCGGCCGCTCTTAACGCAGCCTTTAGCTGGGGGTTGCCGTGTTACTACACGCTTCTGATTACTGAAATTCAGCCCTGGTCCGGCAAGTGGCATTGGAGGGCCTGCAGAGGAGGCGGCGGTTTCCCGGGGAAAGGACGGGCGCAGCCAGCCAGATCTTGGCAGGGCTGAGCTGCAGAAACAGGTGCTTTGTGATATGAGAAGCGGAGCGGCGCGGGAGGGGCGCGCGCGGTGGTTTCGTTTCGTGTTTTGCTTTAAAGCAGAAGCGCCCCGCGGGCAGCCATGAGCGCCAGCGATTCGCATGGTGGTACAACTGGCACGAAAGGAAAAGCCCGAATCCCAACCGCACCAGAAGCAGCCTGGGAAAGGAAGCGACATCACGGGAGCCGGAGGGAGGCGGCGCAGCCTGGCGTCGCCGCCGCACCGGTCTGGCTCAGCCCTCCTCGCGTGGAATCCCCGCGCGCAAAATGAGCGCGCCCGGAGGCCTGTGCCCGCATCTAGCCCGCGCCTCCGGGCCCCTCCGCGGGATTCCGCGCAGCTCCGTCCGAGCCCCCCCGCCCCCCGCCAGCAGTAAGCCCCGCACTGCCTGCCTGGGCACCGATGGACATCCCCTTCTGTTCGTGGCATCTGTTTATTACTCCTGCTAAACATCCCTAACTTAGCCTAAGATGCAGGTAGTGCTCATTTTGGCCTGCCATTTCTTAATCTACGCTACCGGCTACTTGAGAGGCTTTAAATGTTTGTTCACAAGCTCCTGTGGCAAAAGGCAGTGACATAAATATTACAATTTAATCCCTATTGCAGATATGGAATGCCATCCAGGAATATGTCCTCTGGCAGGCATGAACCTGACAGCCTCCCATTGAATTGCACATCCTAGCCCATAATCCTGATTTGCAGCAGTTTCTTAAGGTGCAATCCTAACATGCTGAGAGTTGGGGGACTTTTTCCATCTAAAAGACATGGGATTGTGCCCTAAATGACCTTTTCCACAGCTCTTATTTATTTACTTTTTTAAAATACCCCGTCCTTTTCAGTGTCTCAGGGCAGCAATAACATAAATAAGTAAGACTCAGCATCACAGTAATATATAAAGTCAATATTTAAAATAATACCAACTTTTAAAATACTGGGAAAATAGAAAGGGTTTGGTCTGGCACTGAAATGAAAAAAGCATCGGTGCCAGGCTCACTTCATGGGGAAGTCCATTCCGCAGCCAGGGCACCACCACAGAGAAGGCCCTTCTCTGGGTAGCCACTCTTTGAATGCCCTTCAAGAGGACTCCCGAAAAAGGACCTCCCTCCAGATCTTAGAGGCCAGGTGGGTATCTATGCAAGGAGGCGCTCCTCCAGATCCCAGGTCCTAAGCCATATATTAAAGTCAAGCAGGCAGTAATGCCCCAAGTTATACTGAAGTGAGCAGGCTGTTCATCTGCGCAGGAGGAAGTGTTAGCGGCTTAGCAGCTTTGCCATAGCACCTGAGTCATCGGTATCTTAAAAGGCAAAAAGAGACAAAACTGGACCATGACCAGGAAGCCTCCAGGTCCTTGAATACGACTGTGCCAACATGACTCGCTCACAGCCTCTTTCTTCTCCATCGTGAATTTTGGTGTTGGATATTCAATGGGTGCTCTTTAAGAACCCTGTTGGTACTGTCCGAGTGATGATATTTAACTGCAATGTTTTATTTAAAAAGACAGTGCCGACTTCTTACATTTCAAGTGTTGAAAGCATTTGGTGCTTCTCCTTTAAACATGCTGTGCCCCTGCAGTGGGCCTGCCCTTGGACGCCTTGACCTGCAGCCACACTTGCCGTGTTCATCTGCACTGACTGCCGGCTGCTTTCCAAGCCCGATTCAAGGAGTCACTTCCTCCCTTCAGATGCGCAAGGGTTCAGTCCTGTGCAGGACAAGACAGGAAAAGGGTCCTCTCCACCCTTTGTGGCTTAGGCCTTCTCTGCGTTCTTGAAGGAGAACTTCCTAGTCCTCCATTCTGGATGCTCGTCTTTTTGGAGATTGATGGACACCCTTTGCAGGGGCTGCACAAGCTGCCACGAAGATGCTCCACTCAGGATCCCCATCCTCACATCTTCCTATTCTTGTCCCCAGATAATGCAACGGGGTGCTGCCTGAAGTTGATGTGCTGCTTTAGTTTGTTTTTTAATTACTGCGACTGGTGTTACTTGCCTGTAATGAGTTTTTCCTGCTGTATTCATCCTGCTGATGCTGCTGCTGTTGCTGTCTTTGCCTTGCGTATTTTTAATGTACAAACCTTGGTATATTTTGAATAGGAAACTGTTTGACCTTGGTGAGAGTGCTCGTACCTGATGCCACTGGACAGCAGGCCCTTTCATATGTCTCCAAGCACACAGAGCTCACCACTTGCCGGAGGGCTGCTGATGTTGAAGGGCGGGCCATTGCGACCTCCCAGAGAGCAGTGCAGATAGAAGCGTGTGGAGTGGCTGGATAAAACCCTTGGAATTAAGTGTTTGACCAGAGAGGAGAACTGGCATGCACCAGTACAAATCGTATCCACAAGCATTTGGTATCTGCACGTCGATGCAAAACTAAATGGAAGATTCAAGACTTGCATTTAAAATAAAGCTTTTCCCAAGTGCCCAGTTTTGGCAAACCTTCCTTGCAACAGTAATCTGGACAGTATAACATGCCTGCAGAGCTGTAGTGGCTGGTGGGGAAAAGAGCTGTGACTCTAGCAAAGAAATAGTCCTCTTGAAGGTAAAGGAGGACTGTTAAAGAGGCTTGTAGAAGGACAAATTGATGCTAAATTAAATGCTTATTCCCTTCTTGGAATAGGCCAGTTTTGGACTGTAATTCCCATGAGCTGGTCAATGGCAAATACTTATGGGCATTGTAGTTGAAAACATCAGAACACAGCAAGTTACCTGTTCTAACTTACATAATTTCTGAACTCTAAGGTTTGGAAATTCACCTCCCTGGGAGCATGCCTGATTAAACACAGTAGGACTTATTTCTGAGTAAACAAGCATAGAACTGTTTGCACAGAAGTCAATCCTCCTCTTCTTAAGCAGGCTTATTCCCAGGGAAGTATGAATACAATGGCAGCCTTTGCAGTAGTTTGAAAGTAAAATGCAAAAAGGTTTTTTTTTTAAACACCCCAATTCCTGTAAGACTCAAATTCTAACTAGAAAACTAGCCAAACTGTATTAAACTCTTGGGGTGTTCTGCATTCTTTGTGCTAGTTAATGACCACCCAGTTAGAACTGAGAGTCAATGAGAGAGGAATGCAAGGAGATAAAACTGAATTAAAACTCAGCAGCGAAACTCTGTCTGCTTCTGCTACTTCAGCTCTAGCTTGTAGACAATTCAGCAAGTGAACCAGAGGACATGAGTTGGATTGTGTAGCCTATTATCCCCATCCCACTCCAACTGCAGTTTGACTGACACTAGATTAGCTCACCCGATTCAGCAGGGACCGTCAAAGGGAGACCAGCCTTCACATCGCGACAAGATAGTGCAATTTTGCATCATTTCATCCCCAAGCAAAGAGAACCAGAGGCCATTTCATCCTCAACCTCTGTCATAATTTAAAAAGGGGTGGAAGCAGCTGTGCAACTGACAACAAACACCTCAACAGCCTGTCTCAAAGGACTGATGAAACTGACCAGCTGTGCCATTTTCATGAGGCTTCTGGAAACTCCCTGAAGAAGCAAGCAGAAAGCCTT